GGGAGTTAAAAGACATAAGCATGGTTTATGTATCATAGGGAAGAAGCTTCAGTCTTGGAATTGAGATATGTTAATTTTAAGATCCGAAGATCCCCATTCAATGCTTGCAGCAATTTTTTTTTCCCCTGTTTTTTTGGGGGGGTTGGGGTTTTTTGTTGTTTGGTTTGGGTTTTTTTGTATGGCAAATATGTCTGAATATACAGTATTTCATTCCAGATTTTGTCTTCAAGAATCTTGTTTAACCAGTTTTGTCTGTTATGTGCTCTCTATGTGTTTATGTATGTAATCTCATTTCAGTTCTCTGAATAGGCTGATCCACAATTCTGTGAACTAAAGATGATTTTATATTAACATGTTTGTTAATGTTTCATGTTCCACTGAAGTCATTATTGTGACCTTTACCCGGTTCTGTTGCCATGGGTTAAATTTATATAAACTTAGTTAAAATGATTGCAAAACTTTACCCACATCCCCAAATACCAAGTGTAGCACCGTACAGGATCTATGAATGGGTACTTACAGGAGTCATTAACTGAGGTAATGTCTTTAAGCCTTAAGGATCTTCTGTTAACCCAGTGTGCAGCACCATTCGGGTGTGGGCTAAGGGATGTGGATCCACAGCACAGTCTGTGCATGTGAGTTCTCCCTGTCTGGATTTTTTACTCATTTGTACTTACCACCCCTATAATGTTCACTTATCCTTCTGCATTTATCCTCATCACTCTAACCCACTCCAACTCAGTGCTTTTGCAAGCAGCTTTCAGCTTGAACGTGTGAGCCAGTCACTGAATTTTAAATGAAAGCTGTGCCTTCTTGCTCATGTAGACAGAACCAGACAGAATAGGATTACCGCTGGCTGTTAGCAAATACCATCTGTTGTACAGTTTAAACTGTCTATGCTGTCGCCACTTTCCATTTTAGCCTATGAAGTGCAGTAATTGGCATTCAAAATTTATCAACATACATAGTAATTGCTCTGTAATTTCAGTGCAGTGGTTTTTGTATCTTCCACTGGCATGTTCTGTTGGGGGACTTCTCTGCAGAACATAGTGGGTTGGGCGTTCTCTAACAACAGAGTGGTAAATTTAATGTATGGTCTCTGTGTGCGTAATATTGCCTTCTAGCTGCCCGTGGCTGGCTGAGTACACTGCCTGTGTGGTAGGGTTCTGTAGTCAAAGGATGCAGAAATCCATTTCTGCTTCAGCAGTGTCCGTGTGTGATCGGATAGCTGGCCTGAACCTAATGTAGCTGTTCAAGACATGGATAGGGATCTCCTCCGCCAGGTTCTGCCCTGATGGTGTTGCTACAAGCTCTGTCAGAACTGAGTTCCAGTGCTTGTTTCCTTTGTGTATCTTTTCTCATGATACCTAGGCTCTTTTTTATCATGTTCACCTGTCTTTCCAAGACCTGGAGGGGAGGTAGAAGGTGACAGGGAGTGTCAGGTAAGACTAACAGTGGAGAATAGGGGAAGGGAAGAGGCATGGAGATTTTTCATACCCTAAATTTTCTGTGGCAGTATGCTACAGGGTATGGCATGTATTGCCAAAAGCTGTTACAATCCAGAAGCTTCATTTATGCCACTGTTCTGCATACAATTCTCATTATACTGGGGATAAATGAATATAGGTTTTTTTCTCTCTAAACACAGCTGTGTAGTTTGACTCTCTTGGAGAAATGATGCTATGTGTGCATTTTCTACTCAACATCTAAATTGTATTTGTGTGGTTTGACTTTGTTTAAATTTCACTATCAGATTGAAGATACTTGTGTGTTGTTTTTTGTAATATCCTGAATTATACCCTTCTGTGCCTTATATATACATAGTACAACTGAGTAAGATAAACTGATAGGACAGATACTCCTGTGTTTCTTTTCAGTCTTATCTGAAACGTGTTGAAAAGACATTGAAACAGTAGTGTACAGTGAAATGTGCATCGTGACAAAAATTTCTGCTGCTGTCCCCCGAAGATACATAAGAAAAAGTGCCCACTCCCAACTACAATACAGTAAAGCTTCCCATATATACTAAGAGAGTTCTCCTACCATCTTGAAAAAGTGTGTGTAAGGGTATATACTTATTGTTGATATTTTTTAAGACATACCCCTTCCAGGTGAAAGAAATGAGTTTTGTACTTAACATGTAGAGAATTTGTTTGGGAACGGTTCATTCATGTGAAGGTGTAACCCTTGTGATGGTACCAAGGTCGTTAGAGACCTGGTGTTGGTCACTTGGGCAGCTTTTACTTATATACCCAGTTTATTTCCAAGATTCTAAATTGGCTTAATAAAGACAATACCTGCAACTTGCCCTTTATACTTCTCTACCTTATATATATATATATATGTAAATATTCACCTAGCACCTTGCTAACTTACTGAAATACGTAGTGAGAGAGAGAACAGCAGTTTAGTTTTAGTGACTGGAATGGTATCCTGAGATACATACAGCAAAAGGCAGGCTGGAGCAGATCTCTAGATATGACTGCATCACTGTAGGCTGAACTTAATTTTGAACCTCTTCAGTTAAATGTGTGTGTGTGTATTTGTGTGTATATTTATGTATGTAGATCTGGGGTTTTGTTTGGCTGTTTGCTTGTGTGTGTGTGTGTGTGTGAGTGTGTGTACTTCTAAGCAGATAATGCTTCCTGTGCTGGAAAACCAGAGCAAACCATGGCAGCTGAGGTAGTGGAATCTTCAGGTATGGTGCGGGTCTGCTGCAGTCCTCTCACTGTGCAGCCCTGTGTAGGCGGTTGGATGAAAAAGAACAGACAAATCAACATTCCTTTCCCTGAACTCCCCAGCATGCCTCAGCTGCTTTCACTCGGCTCCAGAAAGGGGAAATGAGACAAAAAGGAGCCACTGGTGGAGTGCTTGCTAATTAGTAAAACTTTGCTGTATGCAAAAAGCAAAAATTAAAGGAATATATAAATGCTATTGAAATTTCAGTGTGTGAGAACTTAAAGCATCAACAGAGATTTATTTCAGAGCTTTTATGTAGTTGTGTACTTAGAAGAACAAGTTTTTTCAGTATTTTCAAAAGTCCAGAACTTGTCAGCCTGCTTATGCTGCCAGTTTTTGTATAATAAGTTCATTGACCCTGTAGACAGTCTGAGTGTTTTCTGAGTTACCGCTTTATCAAACTAATTTGCATGATTTTGAAGCTGTTGCTTGCTAGAAAACAATTTAGTGAGGGCGCACTTTGTAAATACCCTTTTATATAACTTTGCTTGTTCCTTTTGGGGGTGGGGAGGGGAAAATCAGGACCTACAATCAAAAAATAATGTAACTGAAAACTGATTCTATTGCTTGATAAAATATTCACAAAATAGTTTCTCACCAAAGTACTCTGTAGGATTTCTTTTGTTTTCACCCAGATAAACACAATTTTACATGCAAAAATGTTATGCTTCAGTAATTAATGGGTAATTACCTATTGTCACCAGATAATGTCAAAGCCAAAGGTATAAATGGCTTCAAAAAGGATTAGAGAAATTAACGGATGATACATTCATGGAGGAAAAGCAGTGAGAGCTGAGAGTGTGTAATGGGGAAAGGATCACCCCATAGCCCTTCCTCTTTTGTCCATAAATACCAGCTATGGCCCCTGGAGAGAGCTGCTGGTCTGGATCGACTCATGGGTCTGTTCTGTGCCCTTACTATTGTTTAAGGTCTTGATGGAGAAGGTGGTGGGCCTGTACAGAGTACTGCTTTCTATCAGACCCTGAGTGCCCAAGAACAAGAACCACAATTTCTATCTCAGGATTCTTTTATGTACTTTGGAAGGGATTCTGACTGACAAGTGATTGAAGAGCAAAGATTAAATCCTTCCAGCTCTTTACTCCACAGAATTAAATGTTTACACGTACGTACCTGGCCTGTGTTCTAGTATAACAATCTAGACCCATACTCCCACTCGTGGTTTCCACAGTAAATGGTAGGGTGTTTTGGAGAGGGTAAGTGGTCAGACTAAGGTGATGAGTAGCTCTGAAAGGTGACATGCTGCAGCCAGTTGTCCTGCTAAAAAGAAAAAAAATCACCACATACAAGAAATTGTGTTGAGTAGCTTATAATAATTTGTGCTGTATATTGATTTGAGTTCATGAAAAAATACTAAGTGTGTCTTTCTGAATACAAGTTGAACTCGGTAGTCAAACTCCTTCCATCCTCAGGCAGCAGCTGTGAAAAGGAAGCAGAGCTGCTCCTGAATAAGTACAGCCCCAAGCGCGGGCTGTGTGGTACGCAGGTAGGGCTGCACCAGTGCCCCCCTAAGGTACTCCCAGTCTCTGTTGCTGGTTCATGCCTGCTTCCCATCTGCTCTTCTGTGCTGGCACACACTTTGTGGGACTGTGCTTTGAAATGGATTGGGGCTTTTTTCCAGTAACGCTTCCCACCTTCCTTTGTTTTTTTGTGTGTGTGTCAAGATCTCTTTATCTGTGTGTGTATGTACTACGGTTGATCCCGTTCATTAAGTTGATTTACCCTGCAGCCCCACAAAACAAACAGTTGCATGGATGTAGAGTGTTGTATGTTAGTGCTTGGCATAAGCAGTGGGGCGAGACTGCCTCAGTTTTGTGTTGCTGTGGAAGTCACTCTCATCAATATCTTCTTCCTTAAAGGTCCCTACAGCTTTTGATGGCTGTTACAGTTTTTAGATTACTTGGAATTACCTAACAACGGAACTTGGTAATGAAAATATTTTAGGGCAATAAAGAAGATGATATTAAGGTGAAAATAAGTGATGGCAGAATGAGACTGTTCGGGTGTTCTATGTTACTTTAGCACGTAGTTGTGCCTGAAAAAAAATGCTCCTTGTGTGTTCTCTCCCAGGAATATGAAAAATAAGATACATGTTTATAATGCATACAGACTGTAAGGTAAATTTTGTTGACATTCTAATGTTACATCCTAGCTATATTTGCTGTGGTGCCATGTGAAACTTCTGTTGGAAAACAGCATTTTTAAATTTTTTTTTTAAACATAATATGATTTGTTTTCACTAGAGTGCTGCTGTCCTCGCCAGTGAAAGAAATGCTGCACAAGAGGTGCGGAATTGTATAGAAAACCAAGTCAAAGAGCTGACTGAGGAAAATGAACAGTTGAAGAGAACAGTTGATGAGCTAGAGAGTAAAATTGTAGAATTGCATGAACAAATTGATCATATGAAAGGAGAAGAAAATTCAGTGAAGGAAAAAATAAAGAGATATGAGGTACGTTACAAAAACAAGCCCCTGATTTGCGAAGGATACACTGCAGAATAAAAACTGACAAAGGGAAGGCTAAGCGTAACCACTAGGTTGTCAAGAAGCAGGATGCAGTTTGCTGACATGTATAGGAAAGATTTCCCCGGTGAAAACCAGTGTCACAGCTTGGAACTGGGGAGATCAGTGATAGGCCGGGGTGAATGTACTTTATACTTGTCAGATTAACGGCCTTGCCACTGTTTCTGAATGTATGAAATCATATCATTGCAGGAAGAGAAGCAACAATTAGAAGAAGCTTTGAAACGTGCTGAAAATGAGGCAAAAGAATTGGTAGTGCTAAAAGGGTCTTTGGAAAACCAACTAGAAGATATGCAGGTAAGAGCAATTTGGAACCTTTACATTTTAAAATTCCTGATTGATTTACCTGAGTCACCATTGCTTTCTACAGAGTAACGTCTCATTCTTTTTGAAGTACACTTTGTTTTGAAGTCCAGACTTAACTGCAATGTTCAAATGTTTCCTGAAAGCATAGCATCATCTAATTAAAACAGTTTTCTTGCTTAAGTTTTTGGTGTGGTTTTGTTTTTGTTTTTTTTTATAATTCCATGGATATAGCAAAATTTCAGGGATATTTATCACAAAATGAACTGCCTAAGGTTTTATAAATCTGTTCTATTATTTTGAATGATTCAGTTCTGGTAGTGCATGGGTATTTACATGTTAGAATAAAAAGCTGTGCTTGGATATAAATAAAAATATTGGTAGTAGACAAATATCAGAAAATAGGCTTTCCCTTTTTTCATTTTTTATGAGCCTGTCTTATTTTCAAATGTTGCATAGAACTGGCATATTTCATCACAAAACCAGAGAAACTTAACACCTACCACTAGGGCTTGCAGCCTCTTAAACTCTGTATGAAGTTCTCTTTCCACCTTGCTCCGTAGTCTACTCGGTATCCAGGAAAGAATGTGCTTTCTCCCAGAAATTAATCCTGTGGGGAATGCACCTGCTTCAGAGCAGTGCAGAGGGATGCTGGCAATACTGGGTATGAGTGAAGATGGAAGGGTTCAGATGGAGTGAAAATTCAGATCTGTTTAGTAAAGAGATGAATGTGTATAAATCTTAAAACTCTTCTTATTGACATCATATTCTGTATCTGAAAAAGTTGCAAACCTAATCTTTCCTCTTTGTAATTCACCTTTTATACTTACTGAAGAAGCATCTATTTCTACAGTATCAGGTAGTTTAGAATTCTTTAGTTTTGCTTCTTGAAACAGTTTTTAAGTGCTTCTATCAAACAAATCAGACTTGAAAGTGAAATACATGTACATTGCTAGGGACCCCTTTTTAATTGAGCAGATGTTTTCCCCATGTTGTCTTCAACACCATTTATGTTACTGTTCTGAAAATACGAAAATTAAACTTGTCTATAAATGGGTTATAAACCAAGGGAAAGTTCTGTAACCAGCATGGTCTCACAGTGGTTAATTATGGTAAAAAGAAAAAAATAACAAGAAAATACTATCATGTCTTCAAAATGGAATGTGCTTCAAGAATATAAGGTTTTAACAGCATGGGTAAAGAAGTTCTGTTTCTTGTTTTTTAAACCAATTTTCCTTGTAACTACATCAAGAAGTGTTTCACCTGAGGCTTTTGGTTGGTTGTGTGGGTTTGTTTTTTAATCTCTTTATCTCTTCTACCTCAGTGATTTTCCAAATCTGCTTGTATGCGTTGCTGATGGTGTGCACAATCAGAATAGATGGCCCGCTGCTCCTCATCGCCTTGCATTTAGCACCGTTCTCTGGAACTCCCTTCAGTCACAGTCTGGCTTGACCTTCCTGCGCAACATGAATCAATACACCATAGCAGCTCCTGCATCTTGATTAGCTTTGGGTCAGGATGCTTGAAGAGTGTGTTCTGTATTTTCTGTTTACACACCCTTCAGGGCACCACGCCAAGTGATGCTGCTGCCAGGCTGGGTCTGCAGAGATATCTAGGAAAGGTGACAGATAGAAGAGTCTCTCTTGTCATTTTATGTCTATTATTTCTGGCACACCAAATTTAATCCTCTTTCCGATTCTACACTCTTCTTGTCCACCGGATACAAGCACTAACAGACTTCAGGATGTAATCAGCAGTCCCTTTTGTTTAGAACAGTTCGGCCTTTCTGTCTTCAGATTTGTGCTGCTTGTAATGAATAATGTTGTGCAGTAGCTGCTTTGGCCTTGTGTTACTTTGACAATTTAGATGACACACTTTGGCACAGTAATAATGCTTATCACAGTGGAAGCTTAATTCCTGACTGGCCCATCTTGCTTTTTACATGGTACAAATTACTTTTAATGGTGAGCTAGTGTAAGACAATGACAACGTGAGTAGAGTTCTAACAGTTACTGTAAACATAGACAAATCTATTCCTCTTTCATCCTGAATTTCTAATCAGACAAGTTAAAGCCAGAATACACATCATTATTATAGACAACTTGTTTTAATGCTTTTATCTAAAAACAGCCTCAGTATATATTGAAATTTTCTTTATGGATGGTCAAGCAAGCAGTACCTTTTCTAGTGTCCCGTACTGTGTTGTAACCTCTTGTTCTAGGGTAGCCTCCTCTATGTAGTCTACGCTTTCAGGAAATGAAATACATCTTTACCTTTTTGCAACATTGAGAAGACTTTCAGAAGTTTCTCGAGAACTTTTGGGAAAGGAAATAATACAGTTATTATGCACCATAGCAGATATGATACTGCAGTGTATTAAAAAATATCAATTATACCAACATTATGAATGGCAGTGCCAAGTATTTTGTGCCAAGTATTTTGTTGGCTTTCAGTTGGTAACTGGCAAATGTTTGTTTGGCTGGCGGTCCCACTGTAGCTGTCAGGCCAGCCAGTTCCAGTGAAAAATACTCAAGGATTTTTGCATGTGAAGGGGTCTCAAATTAGAGGTAACACTTGAGTTGATTATTGAAACTGTCCTATAGGACATTCCAAATTTCAGCTATTGAAATCAGTACAGTGTATTGAAAGGCCGGACGCTGAGGAAACGGCAGCAGTGGACAGTCGGTGGCACCGTTTCCATCGCGTTGGTTTTTAGTACCCGAGTTAAGTGATAAAGATGGAAGTTCAGTTGTTTCTTGCATGGCATGTTAGTCTACCTCAAATATTTATGATAAGCTAGGCATGCTAATTTTTATCAATATTTGTCTCTTTTATCACCTAATCTAGGAGAGGGAAATACCATATCCTAATTTGAGTTGTCCAAGGTAATGATTGTTGATGAGAAACTACATATGACTTGTTATTTCCCATGAATAATATTAGAAGAATGAAGTAGTATCTGTTTTAATGCAGGGATTTTATTAAACAAAGATAATTTATGTTGCAATGCACAGTTTTAATGAGGAATCTTTTTATCCTATACCTATGTTATCAAGTTTTCTGCTGGCTACGTTTTAGAAAAACAGTAATGACCTTATTATCCGTTAGTGGTAATGTCACTATTGAAGAGTAAATGATTCTGTGGCATAGCTACTAGCTAAATAATACAGATCATAGTATGGGCACCTATTAAATCGATTCTGAGAAGAAAATCATGGAGTGGTGGGGTAAGCCAAACAGTTTTTTCAGGCAAGTAGAATTCATCAGGCCCGGAGAACATGAGCTGTTACACACTTTTCCACAGAGAATGGTTGTGCAGTGAACCACCCCATCATGCGTTAGAAACTTGTTGATTTGGTAAGAAACAACACTGCTGTAAATTTTTTTTTCATTCTTGTACTTTATATGTACCCAGAGAAGCCTTTGCTTTCTCCAGTCACTAATAAATATGATCTACCAGAAGGGGAGGCTGGAAAGTATAAGATCTTTGGTGAGCCCAGGAAAATACTTAATCCTGTGATTCTTACGGCACATCAGGCGGCTCAACAGATACTGAAGCATCACGGGAGGGACGTGGGCATGAGAGATTTTTAACAGATGTGGGGGGAATGAGAGCATGAAGCTCCTGAACTTTAGTTCCCATCATACTCTGAAGCAGCATTGCTGCTGCCAGTTTATTGTTGAACTAACTGAAAACAAACTCAGCAAAATGGAAATTTCTCCTTGGAACAGGTCAGTTATCTAGGAATTGCATTTACTATTAAAATAATGATGATTACAACTTCACAACACTTGCTAATTTTTAGTTTTATCATCTTATTTAATAACAAACAGTAAAAGTATCTTGATAAGAATGGGGAGACAGACTTTTTTTTTTTTTCGGGATGCAAGAATATAGCTCAAAGGAGAAGCAGCTAAATTTCAATCCCAGGCATCACAGTCTGACATATCTGAAAATCAGGCAAAAGTTAGCATGATCTGATGAGAATTGAGGTGATCCACTGCTTGCATCAAGCCCCCTATTATTTTCTTTAAATGTTGTTGTTATTCATACCCATTGTTACTTTAGCAACTGCCCTAGTTAGTAGATTAAATTCCTTCTCATAGTAGTGATTTATTTGGTTGTTTTTTTGCGGTCTTTTTTGTTGTTGTTAACTCTGAAGTAACGAGTGCGACCAGCTTTGCTCTGAGGTTTACTTCCCTTTTCAGGACACTGGCAGTGCAGAACAGCATCCTGCTGGCACCATTATTCTGCCACAGTGTATTTCACTGATCTGTGTCTGCCCAGTTTGTTTCTCAAGGGTGTGTAAACAAACAGTAAAGTTAAATGATCTGTGAAAGGCTGATGGAGGGGGACGAACATGAGGCTTTTATAACCTGTTCAAATATGGCACATTAGAGGGGGCCCAAGATTTCAGCAGCTTTTAGACCTGAAGTGCTAAAGCTGAACCTTTTCAAGGTTCTTAAAATCCTTTGGTGTCAGCTAAACCAATTCTGATGTAGAATTAGGCTTTGCAAAACACTATCTCCTAGACCCCAGCGTGTTTTAGGGTTATGTATATACTTCTTAGGCATCTACTGTAACTCCATGTTTGTATCAGAGATGTATTTTCTTGACCAGCTATACAGGAATATAAGAGGCAACAAATCTAAAGAAATATCTAAATTCTAACATCTGATGATGTTCTTTCTTTTCTCTTGGAACAGTTACTTTTTGAGATTCTGATCTGTATTGCCTGCAGAAATACTACTGTGTTCTCTTATTTAAAGTTTTTGTAATAAAGTAAGCATCATAGGTATTAGATATGCAACAAAACTTTATATTTTCAATATTAAAATGCAAAACAATGTTTTGGAATGTTTTTACAATTTATGGTGATTTTAATTATTTGCGTTTTTCTGTTGGAACAATTTAAACTGTCCGTAATCGGGTTTTAATCAATTTAATAGTGTCTCCCAGACTTCATAAAACCAAACCCTTTTTCTAGTCTTGTAGTGTCTGTTCAGGGTAGGGCTGTTAAGGTGGTGTACTATGGAGGGAGAAGGGAGAGGTGAGCCTCCCAGTATGCAGATGGAAGGTAACCTGCTTTCCTTGTGTTGGAAGGAACTAGTGACAGTCAGTCATTCTGCTGATGTATTTAGAACTTGGAGGGTGGTAAGTTCTTAAACATCCTGAGTGTGATAGCAGAAATATTTGGAGCTCCTTGTAGATAAGCATGCAGCATAGCTCTGCAGTTCATTGAAAATTTAATCCAGATAATGAAGGTTGGGTTTGAACATTCTTTCAGGAAGGGAATTTCTGTGCTAGGAGCTGCAAAATTCTGTTTGCACAGTATCTCTCACAATGAGATATCATCTTGATAAGGGCTTCTGGGTGCTGTAGAAGCACAGCAACAGGAACAAGAACACCCCACTAGTTATTTCTCACTCATCATAGGAACAGATTTAATTTTTTTTTTTTTAACTTAGGAAAACTTTTAAGGAAGCATTAAAGGGAGCATAGAGAAAAATGTGACACCTGAAATGGATTTTGAACCTTTGCAGGAGCTAGATAGGTTCTGCTGATGCGTGCAACTGCAGGGGAGTATATGCTTTGTAGGTAATACAGTCATACAATGGGTCTGTAATTGGTCCTACAAATGTTGCAACAGTGCTTTAGGAATTTATAGGAAGGGTAAAGTACTGCATCACAATAATCAAAATAATAATAAAAATAATGTTTGTGCTGTACTGGTTAGCAAACTGTAACTTCATAAAATTTTTTTTTGTTATTTAAGTTTGTCCTAATGTCACAACAGGTGGCACTATTAATGCTGCACAGAGTGTGTTGTATAACATTCCTTTAAGGCATTAGAAAAGTGAGTCTACATTTCTTTCTTTTTTTTTTAAATCTACTACAGGAGAACATCCGTTGTATTTCGGAGGAACGGCAACAGTTAACTCAGCAGTTAAAAGATGAAACTCACCAGAAGGAGCAGTTAAAGCAGATAAAGAATGAAATGGAGAATGAACGATGGCAACTGAACAAAACTGTTGAAAAGTTACAGGAGGAGGTATGAGCTCACTCCAAAGAGGCTGAAGGAATCTGACTATCATAGAATCACAGAATGGTTTGGATTGGAAGGGACCTTGAAGATCAGAGATCTCAAAAGAGCAGAGTAGAGGGAGAGAGTCACGTCCCTTGACCTGCTGGTTATGCTGCTTTTGATGCAGCCCAGGATATGGTTGGCTGTCTGGGCTGCAAATGTACATTGCTGGGTCATGTTGAGCTTCTTGTCAACCAACACCCCTAAGTCCTCTGCAGGGCCACTCAATCCACTCCTCAGCCTGTATCTGCACCTGGGATTGCCCTGACCCGTGGGCAGGACCTTGCACTTGGCCTCACTGACCCTTGTGAGGTTTGCAGGCCCCACCTCTCCAGCCTGTCCCCGTCCCTCTGGATGGCCCATCCCTGCCCTCCAGCACGTCGACCCCCCTACACGGCTCGGTGTTGTCAGTGAACTTGCTGAGGGTGCCTCGATCCCAGCGTCCATGTCACCCTCAGCGATGTTAAACAGAGCTGGTCCCAAGCCCTGAGGACAGCCTCATCACTGCTCTCCCCGGGGACATGGAGCCGTTGACCGCAACTCTGAGTGCGCCCAGCCAGTTCCTTCTGCGCTGAGCGGTCCATCTGTCCAGTCCATGTCTCCCCAGTTTATCGACAGGGCTGTTGTGTGGGACAGTGTCAGATGGTTTGCACAAGTCCAGACAGATGACATCAGTTGCTCTTCCCTTACCCACCAATGCTGTACCTCGTAGAAGGCCACCAGATCCATCAGGCCCATAGTGAAGCCATGTTGGCTGTTGTAAATCACCTCCTTATTTTCCTTGTGCCCTGGCACAGCTTCCAGGAGGATCTGTGCCATGATCTTACCAGACACAAGAGGTGAGACTGACTGGGTCTTACTTTTTTCCCTTTTTAAAAATGGGGCTTATGTATCCCCTTATGCAGTCAGTGGGAACTTCACTGGAAGTTCTTTTATCTAAGACAGAAGCAAATGAGCTGCCAAGTTGTGAAGAAAGAATTACTTTTTTTTTAAATGTGTAAAACAAAGTGAAATGCAAACTTACTATTAGCCTCTTTAACCTAGAGACTATCAATAAAAGCTTTCAGGGCTGGAACAGTCGTTGGAACACTGCTATCTCAAAATACTGTTGTAAAATAGTTCTGTTTTGTTTAAACAAGATCCCAGATTTGAGTTCAGTTCTAATGTGTGCTACAGGGATATTGCAGAGTTTTACAGCTGATTCTTAAAATGCTACTGCATTAGATTTATTTTGCCATCTGTGTGTAAACCATATAACTTAATATTGATGTACTGTAGTGTGACTGTACTTCATTGCGTCAGCCAGTTGGAAGAACTGCTGACAGACAGAAAGAGAATAGTTCTGTCACACACTGTTATGAAATAACCTTACCAGCTTTCATGCTTCTGCACAGAAATTCATTGGTTTGGGAACACGCTTGATAAATTTTCCTTTCAAAAATACCGAGCTGAATGTTGAAGCTGGAGAAAAAGACCTTTTGGTGTATTAAGCATGCTAGAACCTTTTGTGGCAGTGTTTTAGGGAAAAAGTTTTATGTGCTTTTTTCCCAGATATCTGAAATGGCAGAGGTCTCAAGAACCTCAGCTCTGGAGCTTCAGAGCCAACTTGATGAATACAAGGAGAAAAATCGCCGGGAACTTGCAGATGTGCAGAGACAATTAAAAGAGAAGAACCTTGAGATAGAAAAATCGCGCCTGACAACCATGAGAATGCAAGATGAGGTAATGACTCACAGTTCAGTGACAAATTCTAACCTTTGACCTAGAATTCAGCTCAGATAGTTTTCAAGACAATGAATGTTTGCTACTGTGCTTTTGTGTACTTGATCATGAGAGACTGATCCCAATCAGCATGCTTTTGAGTTTCATTCTTCGTGATGATGATCAGCATGTTGCTCCTGCCAGGGAAATGGGGTTTCCTGTTTGTGACAGATAAATGCGGTGCTTGGCAAGGGAATGTGTCTTAAGTGATGTGATATGGATTCCACTGATGATCTGCTGCTCTTTTAATGCCTGCTACTGTAGGAATGGAGAATGTGGAAATATTCTTGAATTAAGGAAAAAAAAAAAAAAACAGCAGTTATTTAGGGAAAAAACCCCACCAAAACCAACATAAAACCCCCAAATTCTGGCTCTAAAGGAGTTGACATACATTCTGCTCTTCCTTCATATGAGCCATGTTGTGGATTTAAATGACAAAGGTGCCTGTGCATCCAAGAATAAGCCACAGTCTTGAAGTGTCTGCCTCTTAGCATGTGAATTTTGCCATAAAGGCAATCCAGTCTTTGAAAGAGCTGCATATTCTTGTTCTGCAGCTGGAAAAGCTATGAGAATACACTCTGGTCACGGATGTTTTCTGTAAGTAGAACATTTTAATGGTTTGATTTTTCCAGTTCACAACTTTTCTTATGTTGCCTTCTCCCCTTAACAAATTTGTTTTAAATTCAGTTTAAAAGAACAGCAATAGAAGAAAGTATAGTTCCTATCTATTATTCTGTCTTCCTTCTATATTTATTCCATTCAGGGATAGAGGGCCTTTGTAAAGGGATGAAGACTCATAATGCAATGTGAAAGATAAAACTGGGATATTGAGAACATGGCTCATAAGTTGAGTAAATGAGACTAGAGAACTTAAGATAGGTATATCTCTGTGTGTATGTCAATATGTACGCATGCTGTGTTTACATTTATTATGAAATTATTATGTCTGGTGTTAGCTATTACAACTACAAAAGAAATATAAATAAAAAATTTCAGAACAAAATAAACCTTCGCTGTTTGACACAAAGATAACCCAAACGCTGTATAAAGAACAAAATAATACTGGCTGTGGAATTCTACATGTCCATGAAGCAGTATTTAAAATCCTCGGGCTTTAAAAATGTCATATGGCAGCTAGCTCCAAAACAGGGAACAAAATCTGAAAATATAGGATAGACAGGTTTAACCACAGACTTTCTAGAGACTAGATATTCAGGATAATTGAAAGTCTTAATTATCTCTTCCTCTTCCGTATTTTCTATTAAAAAAATAGATAGTCTTTCCATTCAATGTGAAAGTCTGTTTTGTCTGTCAGGATCCTGGTGGGTAGATGTCCTGGTACACAAAACATTATGTTTGAGAGTCTCATCAAAAGCCAAGGATTGTAAAGATCATGGCAACACAAGTATCATCGTTTTGTTCTAGCAGAAAAATGATGAAACAGTCTTGCAAAGGCAGTATGGGAGTTCTTCATTGCTGGGTCTCATGTGTTTTCTGGGGATACATAAAAGATACCAGTCTTGAGAGCTGTCAATCCAGTGTCATCCTGAAATGTTAAATGCATATGAAATGCTTTTAATACACATATCTCCGCACTTAACTTCACCAAGTCATGCAGATGTCCACTGCTTTGTTGTCAGGACTTGGCAAAAAAGCAGCAAACTCTGTAAACAGTCACTAATACATTATTTCAGCTTCAGTACAATAAAGATTTGACTAAATAGAGGAAGAATGTGGAAGACTGTATGCTGAAGAAAAACAAAAACCTCATTACATATACATGTCACATGTTAAGTTGCAGGTATAAGGAATTATCACAGTCTCACCTAAAACCTCGCTCACTGGGTTGTTTTTTTTTTTTCCTTAAAGTACCATGAAGGTTTTAAATAATTTTGAGTACATGCTCAGGAAACTTGTCTTCAGCAGATAGCCCTACTGTATCACAAAGTTCTATTAACACATAGAAGTGTGTGTGTGTGTGTGTGTGTGTGTTAGCAACTACATTACTGGTAAAATGCTGTCATCAAAGTGCCTCAGACATAAAAGCTACATAATTGCTTCAGAGATAAAGTATTGGTAGTCTGAAAAGGAAAGGAATAATATTGCAAAAGTTCCAAAGATAGAACCATTTGGACAATTGTTAAACTTTTGGCTTTCTGTAACTGGGCAAAATGAAACAAGTAAAAAAAAATCCCACTATATATAATTGTCCTTGTAAAGCCTGCAGTGTGAAGCGTGTCTTTAGAGCTGGTATTTACTCCAAGTTTATTTTCTTGGTGCCATCTTGTGGATAAAACAAAAATTGCTGTGAGAAGCATATAACTCCATGCAATTTGTCACATTTCCAGATGTGTCTCGTTTGTAGTCAGTCCGCTTTGCTGACATCCCTTATGTTTTAGAAAGTACATTATAAAGTGTATCACCATAACTTACTGTTTCAGATGCATCTTATGGAAGAAAACTTGAGGGACCACCAGAGAGCTCAGGATGAGGCAATAACAAAAACTCAGTTGCTGGAACAGACTGTGAAAGGCTTGGAGTATGAGTTGGAAGCCAAAACCCACTTAAAAGATGATCGGGCGAGACAAATCAAACTAATGGAGGTAAAAGACATTTTTAAGGGTTAGAATCTTATTATTGATTAAAATAATTTTGGTATTTCACATGGATTCTGCCTAGGAAGAAACAAAATAACGATGCTGTTGAAAATCCATGTAGTTCTACTGTAGGAATTATTCTGGTATATTCTAAAGGTGATGTGTTAGCATATCTATTGTAGCACGATGTGTACGAAATTGCAATTGTTCTTTCATCATTTTATTAGCTTTTAAATTAATTCTCTCTAGGGTTTATCAGGCAAATTTGGATTTTTTTCTCCTTCATAGGCACATCACTCTGAACTTCAGAAGTATTTAGATGTGTAAGTTCTATTTAGCACCTAGTACCGATTCATTTGAGGAGCCTAAATAACACTGTTATTCCAACTGCGTTGCTCCAGGGTTAGCGTCATAACTGTTCAGCTCAACTAAGCTGTCGTTTGACCCTCATAAACAAACACTTTTATACCATTTGGAAAATTTGTCTTCCAAATGTATGATGTAACTTAGACATTCTAAAAACAGTCTCTAGAAGCATCACAGAATTTCTCTTGCTTTCTCAAAGTTGGTGGGAAATGAGACTTCTATTTTACTTCTTTCAGACAAATTCACTTTAAAGACTTACCTACCTGCTGTCTCTTTTTCTAGTTATGTGTTTTCAGAGACATTTCACTTTTCAAGCCTAGGCTTTCGGACAGTTTGCGTCCTTGAAGTTTAAGGAAGAATGCCTTGGGAGCAATCTGAAGAGGATGGGAAAGTAGTATGATGAAATTACTTCTCTTTTTTCCACTTAGGACAAGTTATCTCACCTGGAACTTGAGCTTGATGAAGAAAAAACGAATTCGGATTTGTTGTCTGACAGGATCAGTAGATGCAGAGAACAGGTACTTGAACAAGTTTTCCAACTGTTGTAAACAATGAGGAAGAAGTGTTATTAGGATCACAAACAATATCGATGAACTAAATAATTACTAGCAATAGGGCTTCTATATTATACTTAAGCAGAGTATGTAAATCTGAAAAACCAAGGATCACAGACATGATTAAATATGCTTCTCCGTGTCATCACAGACCAATTTTTTCTTGCTTTTCTACCTGGAAAACTGACACAGATTGCATATAAAGATTGAAGCCCAGAATTATCCTCTGATATTCTTGATGCAGTGAGCATCAAGTAACCATTGATGCATGCGGAGATGATGTCATCTTAGGCTTGGTTTTAGGTGGTGAGGCTATCAGAGAATGCCTGTTGTAGAAAGTGTTGAAAGATCACAATTTTTTAACCTTACTGAAAAGTAGGTCAACATAATAGAGTCTTGATTTCAAAGAAAGAGGCGCTTAGGAAATCGTGGAATTAATTAGTGAAGTCAGCTGAACTAAAAGTGCTGGTCAGTTTAAACAGAGAGGAAGCTTTATTCTTATTACAAGTGTAAAAACTGATTTAAGTTGTATAAGACAGTTGGAAAGCATTTTCTCCCTAAAAATATTGGTCATTAATTCCAGAATTGTTAGATTAGTAGACAGCCAGAAAGAGGGGAAGAAGGATTTACTATCAAGGTTGTGTCTCATGGGGCAGAAAATGTAAAAGATAAAGTGAGATTTGCCAAGCTAAGTGAGACCTGTCATAATAATGCAAACAAATAACAAAAAGGTTCTTCACTGTAGAAGGAAGTTGTGGAAACTATATGATGAGGTATCAAGTCAAGATGAAAAGTGATCCAGGTATGCCTCCTCGAATAGATGAATATCTTGCCTCTGTCTTTAGTAAGTCCAGTGGGTGTGCAGGTGGGAGGAAGTGGAGTGGGCTGATGGAGATGAGACCACTGAGCTGGAAATCGCCAAGACTAAGAGAATTAGGAGTTCGTTGTTCTGAAGAAAGAGGCCTTAATAATATTATTCAAGATTTCTGAAAGAACGGAGATATGAAATTATAGGTCCAGTAACAAAGATTTATAATAAACTAGAAAAGTAGAGAATAGGGCCTGATGGCTGAAAAAGTAACCAGAGCATCCATGGTTGAGTAGGTCAGTATTTTGCAAGTTTCTGATTAGTCCGTAGAAAAGAATACAGTGATGTGGTTGCCTTGCAATATCACAGCCTAGACAGTGTTCTTTGCCTTAATTTACATTCTGGAAGCTGTGAAACTGATGCATAACTCATCACAGCATGCCTACTACTGTAGCTTTACATGAAGCCCAATACCTCATCAGTAACTTCCCAGAAGTCCAGGAGACAATTTGCATTGAGGTACATCCCACAATAGCCTCTTCTCTTTTCATTTCTCTTTTCTTTCTCCAGGAAAAAAAAAAAAGGATTACTGGCATTCTTTTGGATAGCTTTAATTTCAGAGGGAGAACAGAAAGTAAAATCTTAGTTTCTATGTCTTTTCACTGAAATTGTATATTCCACTGAGACAGCTGGAGAGTTTTAAAGTGAGTTGGAGCTCAGCTTTCTTCCATGCGTCCTTGAAACACCAAGGCACGGTTACTAGTTTGGTGGGACTCAGGTTACTGAGATTCTGTTTGATTGCAATACAGTCTTTTTTGCTGTTATTCCAGTGATACTGTACAGACCCGGAGTGAAATAGAATGTAATAATGTGGGGCTGTCCTAGTGTTAAATGAGGAAGCCTTTCACAGCAGAGCCTGTGTAAGCCTGGGATAAAAGAACCTTAGTCATAGCTGCACTAGTGGGTACTGGGGTAGGTTAATGTGCTAACTGAATGGAAACTTAAAATACAGATGGGTGACCAAAATGTTACATAATGGGTAAAAGACGTGTTTATTTTGAGGTCTGGAGTTTCTCATTTCACACATGAGTTACAAAGGTTGCTTTGTTTTGATTTTATGCCAGAATGACTAAGTAGTCAAATTACTGAAGAGTATTTCAGGGTCTGCTAAGCATTTATAATGACATGAGAAATTATAATGGATTTGTTTTGGTAATATCTGTATTTCTGTAAATGTTTTTTTATTTATAAATCTGTTATTTTAATATACTGATAATGAACTATAATACTCAAATTTCCAGTAAAAACAAATTGAAACAACTGGTTCTATTTTACAGAAAGCTAAATGTTTGAATAAACACTGGCAAGGCTGATAGTTCACGTTTCATTTTGAAACCCTTTTGAATCAGAATAATGGCTGCAGGAGATAGTGTTCTCATCTTCCCTTCCTTGTTCTGAAGAAGTACCACAACAAAATGGAAACAAAAAAAAATTGGGGGAAAGGTGGATCATATCCTATTAGTTTTTAAATTACAAGGTATTAGCAACTCTGGAAATGGCCAACACACACAAACAGAAAGCTGGAGGCTCAGGTGCCCTTCGAGTCTGAAGTGAGCAGGGACAGGGCACAGTTTAGTACATGATGGGTTTTTCCCTACAGACAAGTGAAATGGAGTAACTCTTGCCATTTTGTTTTTGTAAAGATAACTGAAAAATACTTCAGATCCCTCAATTCTTGTATTCTGTGAAAAGGCCAGCATGAGTCTGTTGACTTCAGAGTTGTTTCCAGTAAGGGTGAGAAACGGACTAGTTACTTTCCATGACAACTTTAGAATTAATACGGAAGGAGAGAACTGGGTTGACTGCGTCATTCACTTCCCTTTGGTAAAGTGTTCCCAGTGGATAGCTGCGTACCTGTTCTTTGGCTGGCACCAGCTGTGGGAAGCAAAGGCAAACGTGGACATGCAGGTTGCTTTTCAGCTGTGAAGTTTGGAAGGGGTTGGTTTGGCTTTAGCTTGTTTGTTAAACGTTGGGGTTTTTTGGTCACATACTCTTCCCCCCCCCCCATCTTTTTTACTTTTCCCTACTTGGGCATTAACAAGGAACATAGGCTGGGAACCTAGAGTGAGGTGCTAAACAGTGGTGATAGCATCTCAACTATTATTAGGGATCAAATTGCTCTCGTAATCATGAACTCAACAGCTGCTTCTAATCCTAAAGCTGGCACAAAATGCTGTTATGTCTGATAAAGCTTTGTAAAAGCTGATACTATTGCTTTTCTCAGTTCTTTGTTAGCATTCTCAAATCCAGCTGTGATAACTGTTGCCTTAAGCTGCAGAACTTGTTTATTCTTTTAACATAATTAAACTACATTAGACACAGGAAAGGTAGAATGTGAGGCACAAAGCTCCACATGGTACATGCCCAGAGCCTATCTTAACTGTCCTGAAAGAAATGAAACGTTTGAGCACGTTCTGGCACATTTCTCCAGACAACTGTTTTTTTTCCCTTTGTTAAGGAAAACAAAGTTTTTAATTCTGTGTTTACTAATGAAAAGTGGAAGGAAATAAGTGAAAACAGTTCCCACCTCCCCCACTTGTGACCTGCTGCCCTTCTCTTGTTACAAGCTCTTGTATATATTTGCGTGTAGCTTTCTGATCCTAAGTAGATATAGTACTTTTCCCACTGTTTTTCTGTGAGGTTGCTTTTAACATGAGGTGCCCAACAACAGGAGCAGTCATCTTGGAAATACAATAATTGTCCTCTAGTTAATTCCTCAATTTGAGATCTCGGGAAGGTTTGTTTGTCACAGCCTTTGCACGCAGTAAGAGCACAGTAGAACGGTAGAGTGGTCCATTAAGCAAGTTCCTACATAAAACAAAAACCCTTTCTTCAGTTAACAGTTGCATTTTTAATTAGTCATTCATTTTACTACAAATTTTGCTCTGTTTTTCCTGTGTCTGTCTTCATTGCTAAAGCAATTACAGCAGAATAAATTCTACATAATTCCTCACATTATAACTTTTAAAATATATTTCATTAATAAATGCAGTTAATGTATACATGAGTGATTCTAATTTTATTTGTAAAATAATATTTTAATAGATAACATTTTTGCTGTATAATATATAAAATATATTATTAGGCTTCTGTGTGACAGTGAGAGCTTTTAGATGATTACCCAGCTGTGTGAGAACGCAGCCACGTGCTAACACTTGCAGTCCAGGAACTGTTATGACCTTAGTTTTCAGGAATGCCTTCTGCTGCTCTGAAACCATGCTGTGACTAACATATGCAGCTGCATGCATTGCTACTGTTGTTTATATTCATATGTTCCTTTCAAAACAGCGTAAATGATGTCTTTTAAATGTGATTAACTAAAAATATATCTTTCAGTATTATAATGTGATAAAACCACCTGAGGTAAAATATCACGTGCTGTACTTGGTTAACCTTCACGTTCTTAGCATTGCTTTTGGATTTTTATATGCAAGAATTTCCAATGGCTTTTGAAAGACTTTTAGTGAGATAAATCTGTAGCTTAAAATCAGCTTAACTGTGATGGTGTGTGTGTGCAAGTGTCACGTGTAACTGTTGTAAAGCAGGGAAGAATGCCGTGGCCACAGAAACCTTGGTCAGTCTTTTTGCAAGTACAGCAGTTGGCAGAGGTGATCCCTGTGTCCCCCTGGTGATGCTCATCCTAGTGAACACTGTGCAGAGAACAGCACAAATGCCGTGGTAACATTACAAATGCCTTTGCAGGCACAGCTAAAGAATTGAGGGCAGTCTCAGCAGGAATGAGAGGCAAGAAAAGTATTTGGGTGCTACAAACTTTTTCCTTTAGCCCCGAAGTTTCAATAGCAGCTGTTAGGCAGTTCAGACTTTCTCTTTGATCCTCAAGATTATTTTTTTTCTCTCCCAGTGAAGCCCAATAACGAGATAAACCAAAGTAATTCTGTATTCTCATCTTGATTCTGTATCGTTAATACTCCCTATCTGTTAACATCTTACATATGGAGAATGTACTTTCCTTTTGATTATCAAATATGCAACTGAAATATTTACGGAAACTGTAGCACAAGTTGTGTTTTAACAAAACAAACAAAACCGTACCCTCCCCAAATCCCGAAGCTGGTGCTCTCCTGTATGACAGACATAAAATTGACTGGAGCGGGGGAGCGGGGTTTGTATCCAGTACACATCAGAGTCTGGTGGAAAAGAGCTTTTACTGTTTTCACGGACATAGTAAGCTGCAATTGTAGAGTGTCTTACTGAGTTCTAGGCACTTGCCTGCAGTTACCAGTTTGTGTTTAATAAAGTGAAGCTCTGAAGTAGACTAGTCACCAGTTTAAAGGTAAGGTGCTCTTTCAGAGCTTCAGAATGAAGTATGAAGAAAACAGCTGTAGGTGGTGTTTGAAGACTGATGAGATGTGGCAGGGAGTTGAGTTCCAGAACATGATGTGTCTCATGCTACGTTTTAGAGTTCATTTCCCTGCCTCAGAATATATGTACTGAACATCAGCAATACCCAGTGTGGCTGGAAAATGCCTAGAATAAGCACTGGGAATAACATGGCCTTCCCAATGCAGAAAATTCTGTGCAAGGTTGTAATTATCAACTTCATCTGAAATCACGTGTATGTCCTGAGTTCTAAGACAGAGAAATTGTTTCTCATTGTGTTGGTATATGTACTTTATGTACATGTGTATATTTATGCATACACACAGTATCACCTAGATAAATGTAAACTAAATAGTTTCTTAAAATTTCTGTCTTTTCTTTCTATAATAGATTGAGCAAATGAGGACAGAACTACTTCACGAAAGAGCTATAAAGCAAGATTTGGAGTGTGACAAAATTTCATTGGAAAGACAGGTAATTATGGCTGGCATATCATCACACTAGCAAGAAAACAGACTGGGTATCTGCCTTCATTGGGAGACTCAAATAAGCGTTTGAGTGCAGTGTTTGGTAGCTGGCAGAACCCCACCCCGGTGTGCTTCTGGAAGTATGTGTTAGTAAGAACAGGTGAGGAAACATCAATATCTGAATATTGTTACTCAAAAGAAGATACAAACTTGAATTAGGTCGTCTTCTCTTAGTATTCTTTTTCTTTCTGTACCCCTGTTTTAGCTTGAGTTTTGTCACAGTTTATGTGTTTTTATACTAAACACTCAGTACGAATCCATCTGTTTATGTAAGACATTTTTGTTGGGAGTACAAGCATCTCTCTACCACACAAATTCTGTCTATACATTTGAGGCTCAATGACATGAAGAATAAGAAATGTGACACTTGATAGGCTACACTTACTTTAGAATAAAGCTGCGATACCTATAGAAACTTTTTAAAAGCACATAAACAGAAAAAAACTATAGACTATCAAAGACACAGTTACACAGTTTAGCTGTAAATCCTTCGACCACTTTTGGAGGAGCCGTTGTTCAAAGTCTGAGCAGTATTTCAGGAACAGCCCTGAAGTTAGAGCATAATTTCAAGCAATTGTGATTCTAGTTGAGTACTTTCTTCTGTAGGAGCAAACAAGTGAAAAAATGACATACCTCTGGAAGAAAAGATAGAGATTTGATGGAGAACTGCTATTCTTTGTTGTCTAGGAAGGAATATGACTCATGTTAAAAATACTTTCTAGCTTTTTACAACATTTTACTCTGCAGTTTAGTGGTCTTTGAAAGCAAGATTACTATCATAGCCCCCAGCTGAGATCCAGAGGAAAGTTATCCTAGCAAGTCATAGCATTACTGACAGTCTGAAGAACATAAACCAGATAGTAATGGGAATTTAGAGAACAAGTTTATAACAGACACCTGATTTGGTGCCTTAAATGATGTGAAATTATTCCCATCTTAATTGAGCAGAAAGAATGCCACCTACTGGTGTATCCCGTGTACATCCTTATATTTTTATTTCTGACTTTCCTATCATAGCTTTTTTTTTAGTGTTTGAGATCTGAAATCATGGTTTAAAGTTCTGTAACAAAGAGCTTTATTTTCTTTTCCTCATGTAACTCTTTTTTTTTTTTTTTTTGGCAACTTTATCATTAAGTCCCCATTGAAAACCTAAATGATCTAGCCTTGTAAAAATTAAAGTGTAAATCCAAGCAAGAAGTTTGCCTTTACAAATCATGCAGCTTGCAGTTTTTCAAACTATCTATTTAGTAGGAGTGGCACTGCATAGTTAAGAAAGGGGGGGAAAAAGCCCACGGTAATAACTTTGATAGAGTAAAATGATGTTGGATGCAAGTAATGTTTTTGTCTATTTCCTTTAGCCTTACACCAGTGAGTTACAGGGGAAGAATGCAGACTTTGACAAAAGAATTGTGTGGAGAGTAAAAGGAGTCCAATGCTATTAGAAAATTTATAGCAAATTAAGAAATGCTATTAGAAGGGACTTGAGACCATCTGAAGTTCAAGGATCCATTTAAACCTAAAACTTTAACTCAAGCTTGACACTAAGTTGTTTTTAATAAAGCACAGTAATAGAAGATTTGTTTGTAGTAAACTGTAAAATCTCACCGACTTTTTTTCCATACTAAATTAAAAATACTCTGATCACCTTGTGTTTGCCTGGAGAAATTTATTTTGTGTTAAGGTGATATTTGTTAATATGAGCATGTATGTAGTAATCAAGTGTGTTCTAATTATAGAACAAAGACTTGAAGAGCCGAATCCTTCACCTGGAGGGTTCTTACCGGTCCAGTAAAGAGGGACTTGTTGCTCAAATGGAAGCAAGGATCACAGAGCTGGAAGAACGGCTTGAAAATGAAGAGAGGTGAAACTAGTTATGTTAAGATCACAACATGCATGTTTATGTTTGTTAATGTGGCCTCTTGCTAAGATTAAATCTCTAATGCAATTAAGTTTTTTTTCTCCCAAGCAGCAAATTAAAATGGTTATTGCTTCATAGGAGTATTGCAAATTTTCTTTTTGACTGAAAGCACACTAGAAGTTGCCTTATAAATTTAAAACTGGGCACAGTGTTAACATGGTTCTATACCTTAGTATTTTGTCAATATCTGATATCAGTAACAGGCTTAGAAATACTAACTAAAGTTCACTTCATTGTTTACTCTTGGAGGAATGGGGGTTCTTTTTCATAATGTTGCTCTGGTCACAGAAGAAATTCCTCTTAGTGGTTCATGCTTTTGAACCAATTTCTTAATATGTTCCATGGAATCAGTGAGTCAGAGCAGGGGCTGTTAGTATTTATTTAATTCTTAGAAGATTGCTAAGGAATTATGTTAGCTAGCAGAATTGGAAGTACTTCAGTTCCTTTTTTTACAATCCTGTCTCTTGTTTTGTTTTTTCTAGGGATAGAGCAAATTTCCAACTAAGTAACCGCAGACTTGAGAGAAAAGTGAAGGAGTTAATGTTGCAAGTAGATGATGAACATCTCTCCTTGACTGACCAAAAGGACCAGGTAAAAGGAAAACCAATATGCAAATATCCGATATTAATCTTACCAGCATAAATCACCATATATAAAAGATATGAGAAGAATATAGGTAGATAATGATTGTTGTTCATGAATTCCCATTTAATGAGATCCACAGTTCCCATTGTCATCATGTTCTTTACTACTAAATTATTATCAATTTCTAAAATTATGAAAAGAAAGCACTTATAGAAACAATACTATAATAATTTTAAGAAGTAAAGCAAGTATCAGAACAGTATATGATCCTATAAATGCATACACCAACGAATAATTTATTCTGGTTTGCCACCATAAAATTTTATTTAAAGAAGCTATTTATTGTTAAATACAGGCTACAAGTATTAAGCATATGTTGATACTCTAATAGCAGTGTGCTCTAACAGCCCTGTGGTCTTTACTGATTCCTTGCTTAAACATGGTTTGTTTCGCTACGTGAGTCAAATGGTTAATATTCTGTCTAGAGAACAAACAGAATGCTTCAAATTGCAGACATCTGTTAAGGGAACAATCTTTTAAAATGCTCTGACTTGTTTTCAAACATATTTTGTAGTATCTGTCTGGTAACGTTGTGTAACTTAGAGACACTAATAGCTCCAGTCTTCCCTTACTGACAACCGGCTCTTGCTGTCTCATGATACTGTCTTACTCTGACAAACCTATGTTTGCTTGTGGCTGGTTTTTCTTAAAAAATTGTATGCCATCGCTTTTCTCAAAGCTTAATGTGGACTTTCGAATATTTCTGAAGCATAGGATTACAGTGTCACTGCACTGGCAAAGTTGTGTCTTTATTCTCCCTCTCATAGATGCTGGAAGAATAAAATTCCTTTATTAAAATAGTCCTCTAATCAGCTGACATGTAAATATTTCAGTTGAGTTTGCGTTTGAAAGCAATGAAACGTCAAGTTGAAGAAGCTGAAGAAGAAATAGACAGACTGGAAAGTGCTAAAAAGAAACTCCAGCGAGAACTGGAAGAGCAACTAGACATGAATGAACAACTGCAAGGACAGCTTAACTCTGCGAAGAAGGAATTAAGGTAGGGTGACCTGTCAGACCGTACAATTATGTACCACACCAAGATCGGTCTCTGGCTCCTTTAGTCCATGAACTGAGGGCTTCCTTGACAAACTTCAAGCCTCTCATAAGCAGACAGAGTTTAAGAGACAGACCTGTGAAAGTCTCTGCATTTCCTTTCTCTACAGATGTTCTCCAACTCTTTCCAGGGTGCTCCAGTGCCTAAACCTTCTTTCTGAGATCAGTCTGCTGAATAAAGTCACTGAGGCAGGGAATAAAAAATGGAAAAAGGTGGTGGGACTCAACACTCTTCTAATTTGTAGTAATAAAAATTTCCTGCTAAGGACTGAGAGGTACAGCTATCCCGTGTTAGTCTTCCTCAGCCATCTGTGAACATCTCCATGTGCAAAGCTTACAGTTTCCCCTTTGTGACTTTAATTAGAGGTGCTTGAAAATATGATTGATTGATTGATCTTCATTCTCATGCATGTTCCTTTCATGTAAGACGTAGCCTATGACAACCTACCCCAGTTGGAGCACAAGTTTCTTTGACATCCTTTAGAAATGTAAACCCTGCCTGTCGGTGTTTTAAGCTTTGCATGTAGATGTGCAGTTTTAATAGCAAAGACGTGTATTTTTGTTTTAGTAGACTGAAGAAGTCACCAAGTAAAGTGTTGGCTGATTCTGATGATGATGATGATGATGATTTCAGCACGGATGGTGATAGTCTCTGTGAAGTACCTTCAGGAAATGACCTTACAAAAGATGACGACACAGAAATCTAAAGAAGTATCAAATCTGTGGTTCCTTGGAAGTCCTGGAAGAATAACATAAATTATCAAGAAGCTGGATGTTCTAGAAGCCAAATGACATAAAGGGATGTAAGAGTTGGAAATACAATGTTTTCATCCATACTGTGCCATTTTCTTATTTAGCTCTCTACTGTTTATGATAGAAAACAGGATTGCATTATAAAACAGCTATAAAACACGGAGATAGATGTGTATATATAAAACCACTACTGAAAACATGGGGATAATGTTTCACATTGGAAAGGAGATTTTGCTAAAATTCTGTTTAAGTAAAAAGCCATTTGAAAGTAGTTCAAAATTAGTTTGTAGTTATTAAAAGCTTTTCCCTAAAATTAAGGAAACCACAGAAGATTATTTAATAATTGTAAGTAGGGGGAAATGATGTATAAAATGTAAATATTTTAAACCTGATCTTTTTATTGACTACTTTAGTACTGTTTTGTAAAGTTTCAAATATTATATAAATCAGTTTGGTATGTGAAGTACTTAAATTTATACTGAATGGTATATTTGGGTTTCAACTTAGAAGAAAACAAATGAAAACGAATACATTTTGTGCGTTACAGACCAGATTCACCGTTCCTGAGCCAGGAAGTACGTTCCCATTTTAAAACACTGCAAGTTTCATCGTATGTATTCAGTGTATTAGAGATCAAATGTTAAATGAAATGACTTTCAAAGGACCGTCACCTCTGCGTGATGAGTGAGGCTTGCCTACAGCTTCCTTGTAAACGGTGTCTGGGAGGCTTTCTGTTCTCAGCAGGGAGGGAGGGGAATGAGGGCAGCTCTTACGTGGCAGCTTTCCCTTCCTAAAGGGGACTCCTGCTGCCGGGGCAGAACATTACAGGCCTGCTGACGTGAGGAATCGGGACAGACTTTCCTTAAAGTCTCTAAGGAGTCCCACTCGTTCCAGTAAAATTACTTGTGGTCTTCGAATCAAGTACATGCTTAAATCTCTTCATCAATTGATCCAAAGGTTTTATGCACCTGGCACAAAATTGCATTAAGGAAACACAAGGCATGTAATCTGTTTTTTCTTCTTAAGCTGTTCGTGGGCATCCGTTTGCGATATGTTGCAGTGTGTGGTCATATATGCAAATATACATTAGTTTTTCAGTTTACAGAAGTATTTGCATTTTGGGTGATCCATCTGTTCAGCAAACTTTGCGGGAAATTTAAAAGAAAAAAAGTATTGCAGATTTTATTTTAAAGCATTTTCCATTTTACTGCAAAAAAATTTTTTTTGCCATTTATATTACACCAGTCTGGTTTTGTTCCTCTGCAAATCTAGAATTCAAAGGAATGGGCACTACTACAGAATTCTGTGAATAAACCATAGCTAAGTCCTGGCTGATGATTAGTATCTGTCCCCAGTTACAGGTTAGTGAGCACTTGTTCCTTGAATGGACCAAATAACGGTGTCATGTAATGGTAAAAGATACTTTCAACTGAAGTTGCTGGAGCTTCCATTACTCCCACAAAGGCATCCACTGACGAGGATAATTCCACAGCTCTGGAAGTGAGGCTGGTAGACTTGGTTATGGCGAAAGTCCTGACAATGGCAGTATCCATTTTCATACGAGTCTATGAAAATTAACTCCTGCCTGCAGGATCAGAAATATATTCATGCTGAGCAGGTTATAGACTCTTTTGCCATGTAATTCCCTTCAACTTGATTTTGATGGTTTGAGATATATGGGAAATAATCTGAACGGCATAGTTATAATACTCTCTGAATCCTGTCTATCTTTTCAAGTAGCATACAGCATATATTTTTGCAGTACTAGCTTTACTATTTTGTCAACATAGAAACAGCCTTTCCTCAAAGATCTTCTACACTATACTGTACTGACAATCATCATGTAACCTGCTCTGATTTATTGTGTTGTTTCATTTGCATATTTATGTAGGCTTAACTTTAAACAACTGATTCCAGTCTCCAGTACTCTGTCCTAATGTTCACAGGTGACTTATTTCAAACTACTGGAAGAAAATCACTTTATATTGCATCTACCTCCATTTACACTAAACTGTAAAAGAGAAATTCATGTAAAATAAACAGTCAGCTCTTTCAACTCTGCTTTGTATGTGCACATAGCTTGATATGACAGCTGAATTTCATGTGGAAGACACGCATTTAAAATATAACAAGAAAATGATTATCTGGGAAATACTGATGCTATAACCAGTTTCTGCATTTTCTTCGTTTTAGATAGCTACTCCCCGCCATGGCTTCGTGAAACGAACTGGTCTTTAGTTTGTTCATTTAGACCTGGAAATGGCATTTTCTCTTTAGAGTTCTCAAATGATAGACTAAGATCAAAGAAAAGGTGTTGAAAAGGGTGTTTCAGCTCATTCACAAGATAGTAGCTGTTTCTTAACCCATGCTCGCTATGGTGAGGGTAGGGTACAGGTCTTGATTGTCACCAAAAAACGCTGATAATTGTTTAAGGACTTCTGATTTGTTCACGCCATCTCGTGGCAGTTTTTGATTAAACTCCTCTTAAGTCGAGGTTTTAGAAAAATTTTCCCAGTATTTCCATGTAATCTATTTTTAAATTAATTTCAGAAGAAGCTCCTGACCCATAAAAGGAAGCAAGAGGGAGAATATGTGAAGAAACATGGTCATGAGACATACAGGCCCTAGAAGTTTGTACAAACATCAGAGTTTCTGGTGTATTAGACACGGCTTGAATTCTGAGCTCTAGAGACCTTAATTTTTCTTCAGTGCTACCATAATATCTCATAAACAAACGGACCCAAGCTAAATCACTTTTGATACAAGCTTTAACCTGATGACTTATATAGTGGAGGCGTGTGTCTCAGTGTAAGTAATCTCTGATGAACAGTGAACTTTGCTGTCCTCTCTGGGATTAATGGCCTTTCATATTCCACTGAGATTTTGACTGGTTTTATGTGGTGAGAGATTTTTCTATAAAAACAGCATTTCTTCACATTAAAATTCTATTGTACCTAAATATACATGTTCTTCAAACAGCTGTGTAAGATTAATATTGCCATCTTCAATTCCTGACAACTTGTGCCCTAAGAGGACTTATATGGTCGATCATAATTCCTGGTTTTGAGAATCAAATCCAAGTTCTGAGTATTTTCCACTAATCAGTTACACTCTGGCAGATCCTCTTGAATTTTCTGAGCCTACTTTTGTAGATGGGAGAACACAGGTTAACTTCTACAAGAGCCTTTTGATGTTTTAAATGGCTGACATCTGGCAAAGTGCTCGAAGATCTTTCAGTGGCAAATGCTATAGAATGCAGAATGTGTAAATGTAAAACCAACAAGTGAACAACATCCTCCTGCTGTCCACAGACTCCTCGCTCACTGTCCAAGTAATAAAATTAAGGATATTCATCACATATAAGGGATTTTCATGCCCTTTAGTGTGGAAGGCATCTCTTCATAAAAGCATCAGGGACTTTCAGACATCATAGCTCCTTCCAGTGCATGGAGAAAGAAAAAGGAAGCGTTGTTGTCCTCTTGCTGTCCCCTGTACCTGCTTCCCTGTGCTGCACTTCATTTAAGGAAACCCCTATACTTTGCAAATAACTAGCTCAGCACTGTCAGTTGTTTTTTCTTGTTCAATCACAGGCAGGTTTCCCCCCAACACTGTAGTCTCTTGATGAGACTATAACTTGTTGATTAATCTGCGAATTCCTCTGATTTATCCTCATTCTTCTCAATTTAATTCTTTCCTTTTTCCTCATTAAATATCTGTTCTGATTTATAGCTGATTTTCTAAACTATTCCAAAAGCCACGTGCATTCCTTGTTTTTTACAGACCAGCTGTGTGCTTTGCTGAGTGAGCTACGCAGTGCAATAGCTTCAGCTTTTAGGCCTCTTCTGGATCACACAGCACACTGCAGTAATTAAATGTTGATGGTTTTAGCTTAGTGGAGCTTCCTATCCTATGAGTAGAGCTACACATTTCAGCTGCTCAATTTCTACCAACTGTAGTTATCAAGTAACATTGCAAAATGTTCAAAGACTTTGCTGAAAGAGAACATTCTTTTGAAATTGCCAGGGTTTGTAACACATGTAATTGGTTCTTTTATCCATAAGGTCACATACAGTAGGGTTATAGTGGGGAAGATTTCATTGTTATTTCAGAATTTATTCATGAGCACTGGGATATTGGGAAGAAATTACAGAAATGATTAGAAAGGGGTTTTTGTATTACAGGTTTTTCTCTTAGCATGTAAGAAAGGAAAGACTGAAGAAGGAGTAAAGTTCAACAGCCAAGGACAAATGGAGTAATGAATTGGGCTCACCTCCCTCAGCAGTGTGACAGCCCCTTGATGGTTAGTACCACTGAACCTCCTGTGACTCAGCAGAGACTCTATGTTTTATGTAAGGGGGAACATTTGATCTCCTATCTGCTTCTAATAACTATTTGCTGTCTTACCCAGCTCTGAAGCTTCATGCCATTAGCAGAAGAACAGGCGATAAAAAAATTTTACTTCTGAGCACAGGTGGATGGTGGAAGTTTAAGCTTTCCAAGTTGCCAGTAAAAACTGTAGGAACACTTCTATGTGAGTGCAGAGAAGGGACTCAGCACAGGTAACTCAAGTTTTTCTATGCTTTCTGTGTACTTCTGCTTCTTCAGCAGAATGGGCTCTCTGAATAACACTTTCTATATTAAGTTACCAAGCTAGTTTGACTAGTTTCAAGCAGTCCTTTTTCTTTGGCTGCATGCAGTCTGGCTAGGATGAACCAACCAACCACAGCAGAATGTGAAGTAAGGGAGAAAACAGAGACCGTCAGAAAGATCAATGCAGGATCCAGTTCTGATTAATTTGATTTTGACCTTCCCTTCATTTCTCTTAAACAGCCTGGCACTGAATGTGGCTTAAGCCATTTTAACCTACAGATACCTAACTGGAGTTGGGATGGATGTAAGATTTTATTTCCAGAGACTGTAGAGGTTCGAGATGAGGATGGCAGGGAGCACACTGAAGAAGTGCACGTTGAAGTAGTGCTAGGAAATGCCTATTTCCTGTGTGCATTTGCAGCAGGGATTCTCAAGAGAGTCCAGCTGAGACAAATGATAGTGCTGAAAAAGGAGCAGCATATGTTTCTGATATTTCTGTGGATGCACTGTTAATGGAGACTGATTAGCTGCATACCCCTGCTTAGCACGGGTAGTTCTGTTTTGCAGAATTGCTTTCAGCATCTTCAAACCTTGGGTACCCAAGTGCCTGCCAGTATCGGAGGCACATATTTTGTGTGACTCACATCTTACCTTTTTTCCAGAAAGACATTGGGTATGTAGTTCTGCGTTTTCCCTTGGATTTGGCTTTTTGTCAAAAATGTGGTTTTACTTCTGTGGGGTTTTTTGTGAGAGAGAAAGAAAACACCACTGCCCTTGGAGTGTAGAGATGAGACTGTTTGGGACTCATCCCTGGGAAAACTCAGTCTGTGCCAGAAATGAAATTTACTTTCTAGAAAGCAGTTCCACTGCGCAGAGGAGACCTGAGCTGTTGACTAAAAGTTCACCTCTCACACCCACAGAGCTGGCTGTTCTCAGCCCAGCCTGGCCTTTATTTTCCTGGGACATAAGGGCTGAGACCTGGAACTTGACTTGGCTGAGGCTGCCAGCATCTGATCTCTGTGCTACAGATGAGATTGAGATTGGTATACTTTTGTTCTTCGAGTCTTTTGGTTAAAGTACAGCAAATACTATTTAAGGAAAAAGGACTCATTGAGTATTCATGACTAGAGCATGTAAGAGCGAATACATGTGCGCGCGCACACACACACACACACTCAAGGTGTAGAGGTGGGTGTGCATTGCTGGAAGTGCCGCATCAGCTGATTTGGTGCCTGCCTGAAAACATAATCATGACTGTTTAAAATTGGCACAAATTCAGTGGCTACGGTCGCATGTGGTTACTGTAAATCCACAGTAGCACCACAGCACAGACCACCTTCAGCTGAGTTCTGGCATTTTCTTGGGTATCTGCTGTGTAAAAGAGTCCCAATAAGCCTCTTAATTTGTCTTTTAAATGCTTTACCAAAAGGAAAACAAAGGAAGCTGAACCATCCAGAGAAGACAGGGTGCTCTAATAGTTGGAAGTAGAGCACTGGGAACCAGGAGGATTCTGATTTCTAATCAGTTTGAGCTGCTGCTTCAGTCCTTGACCTCCTCATGCTTTTGTCAATATGCCTAGAAAATAGAGCACAAAACTAGACCTTGAAAACTTGATACTGCGTCTGCATTGAAACTTCCTGGATAAAGATGCTGGGAGGAAATGCCAAGGATCTGTTTTTTCAGAGAACCTGCTTTCTGACCATAGCTGCTTTCTGTGCTGAGGCCAGCCATCCGCCGTGCAGCCGGTGCTGTGCTGCAGTGCTTTACCGGTGGGGAGCTGTGTCACCTGCCACGCATCCGAGATTGAAGGGCTCGTGCTGGCTCTGCAGTAACCGGCAGGCTCTGTGGAATGTCTTTGCTGCAGGATGACAGCCTTAAAGCTAGATCTCCTTCCTTTATGGGGAATTTCAAATTTGGTTTTCTTCAAATAAGAAAATGGTTTACTGTGTAAGAGGTAGAATGGCTATGAAAAGAGGGAAGGAACAAATAAAGTAAATCCAATAAAACCATGTAAAAGCTGTAACATCAACCAAGCAAAGAAAGGAGCTTCCTGAATCAGACTATGTTTACTTTAAACATAGCTCACTGTGCCTTGCAGTTTCAGTACATATTGTGTGTGGGACCCAGCTATTTTAAAGATAAGATCAAATTCACAATTTAGATCAAAATGTCTCTCCCAGCTGTGGAATTCTTGAGCATTACTAAGAGTCACAGTGGAAGACCATGGTCTGTGCGGTGCTCTACATGATCCTGCATAGGATAAATATTTGTAAAGATGGCCAAGGACAGTCTGAGCCTCCTGTAGAGCTCAAGAGAATTATCTTTTCAGTCTGCCTGGTATTCTTTGGCTAGGAAACCTTTTCAGATGGACTGAATTTAATAAGCATTGTGGGATAAGCAGAGAAGAGAAAGGAATGAGTAACAGGGCCACTGCAGCTGCTACCTCTATGAGGAGAAAGGCGTCCCTGTA